CCATAGCGACGACGTCCTCTCAGTCGCGTTTACGCACGACGGCAAAACAGTCGCGTCGGCGTCCCGCGATAAGACCGTTAAGTTTTGGGACACGGCGACGGGCCGCTGTCGAGCAACGCTCGAAGGCCACAGCAGCTCGGTCGACTCGGTCGTGTTTACGCACGACGGCAAAACGGTCGCGTCGGCGTCCCGCGATAAGACCGTCAAGCTCTGGGACACGGCGACAGGCCGCTGTCGAGCGACGCTCGAAGGCCACAGCGACTGGGTCAAGTCGGTCGTGTTTACGCACGACGGCAAAACGGTCGCGTCGGCGTCCAGCGATCAGACCGTCAAGTTTTGGGACACGGCGACGGGCCGCTGTCGAGCGACGCTCGGGGGCCACAGCGGCGGGGTCTATTCGGTCGCGTTTGCGCACGACGGCAAGACGGTCGCGTTGGCGTCCTACGATGAGACCGTCAAGCTCTGGGACACGGCGACGGGCGACTGTACCACGACACTTGATGTTGGCACGACCGTTACTCATCTCGCCTTCGATGCCACCAGCTCCTCTCTCTTCACCAATGCCGGCAGATTTTCCCCCAATCATCCACCACTAATATCACCTTCGTTACAAAAAACAGCAAAAGCGCCGCTAGCGCAGCCGGCAGTCGCCGTATCCGATCACCCGTTGCGCACCGATCAGAAAGGCATTGGGCTAAGCGACGGCCTATGGGTTACCTGGGGCTTGCACAGGGTGCTGTGGCTGCCGCTGGCGTACCGACCGGGGCACCGACCGCGAGAGTCGGCCGTGATGCGATCGATGCTGGCTATCGGGACCCAGTCGGGACGCGTCGTCCTCATCGGTCTCGCCGATACAACCTTCTCATCTAGCTCGTCTCTCTAGTCTTGATTTCCATAAATATATAACTATTTATCTCTATCTCTTTGCTTTAGAAGGGTCCAAAGTGGTACTCTGAATTTATATCTGTGCTGTCGATGCTAGAATGTTCGATAACGTTAACCCAGGGCTCGTTGTTGCTCCGCTGTGCGTGGTGGCGAATTGCCAACTCAACGCTCTGGTTCTTCCTCTCGGGTTAACCGTCGATGGCGGCCTTGGATGCTTGAAGCGCTCAGCAACGTGCACTTCGGTGCTAAAAAGCGGCGGGTTAAGCAGTACATCAACTAATGTCACGATTGTAGCATGAACCGGCAGAACAATCAACTCCTTATCAGCATTAGCGTAATCACGATTGACTTCGTGACGGCGCTCCCAACTGTACCCTTAGCAGGCACCCCTTAACACTACAACGGTTTCGATACCTATAACGCGCTGATGACCGTCACCTGCAAGACGTCGAAGCGCACCATGATTCTGCCCGGCTATAGTGAGTATTCAGCCCGCGACATGCGAAGCGGTGCTTGTCGTCGTGCACGTCACGAAGGTACTCGCCCATAAAAGGCTGTGGGATGACAAGGCGTTCCTAACCGTTGTTGTTATTGTACAACAGTCCGTCGGCAACGCGGAACGGGCGGCCGGGCTTTGAAGCGTTGGCAACGGCCTGTAGGACAGTTCCGGCTTGGAGAGGCAGCGTGAGATGAACATGACCGGCTTGATAGCGTGAGCGGGGATAACTTTGGTAGCTCGATCCCAGGTGTAGCCGTCTTCAAGGTGGAAAACGACGACGCCAAAGCCACGCTCAAGCTTGGCCTGAACCCCACGCACGGCGTGCTAGTCCGTATTTCACGGCGAACTCGGTTTCGCGCGTGGAGCATCTTCCGGCCAATGACGTGCCTCTCCCGTGTGGACATCGAGTCGACAAACTACGGTGTTACCAAACGTTGGGCGTGAACAAGACTCCTTGCAAGGTCCGTGTTTATAGGAAGGTCCCTAGTTGTGACCACGTCGTGGAGGTCGCACGCTCCGTCGACGCGGCTGCCAAGGGATTCAAGTGCTTTACGCCGTGCGAGAAGGTCCTGCAATGCGGACATATGTTCCGGATCTTATGCGTGCGTGGAGAAAGCGATGACATTATCTACCAGTTATACGGTCGAATAGTGTGGTTGCCCATACGACACCTGCGGCTGTTTGCTAGAGCAAATGCCATTCGGGCCGACCATGCACCCCTTGCGTTCGCCGATGCGAAGTGAAAATCGCTGCGTAATATCCGCGCGATAAAAGTGTTTCTAAGCGTTGATAAAATTTATGCGTTAGGTCCGGTGTGCCCATTTACGCTGTTCGCTCTCTTGTCAGCAGGCGTGCCATCCGTACATCGAAAAGTGTGCCAGACGGCCGGACCATAATCACTGGGCTCCCCTTCACAGTGCTCTATCTCTCAGAGCGGGAGAGCGGGACATATGACGACATCAAGCCAGCAAATACTGCTTACTCGGCCGCCCGCGGTGCAGTCCTCCTCAACGAAACGTCAGACCCTGTCGTCTACCACTCGCGCCACCAGCTGTAGGTGGGATTCTAGGTGTGCTCGGAGGCGGCCAAGAAATAGAGTAAACCGGCCCGTCCACCCAGAAATAAATGGTCGGGCGGGTGGATGGCCCAGGCGGTCGCCATTATGGGCCGGTGCTTGCATGACGAGTTGCCATCGGCCCGTGCCTTCGGGGAACCCCGAAACACCCCAATAGCTTGCCGCCGTTAGTCGCTCTGTTTGGCCGTTCATACCTGTTGGCCGTGATGACCGGTGGTTGCCTGTGACGCCCCCAATCGTAGGCGCAGGTCGGGGTCCTCGGGCACCTCCGTGCGACAGCACGTGAGAGATCGGAGGCGAAAATGGAGGCCGAAAATGAGAGGCAGCAGAATGAGGACAAGGGGAATCGGCTCGGCAAATCAGTTACTACTCCCCCTGAATGAAGAACAGAAGATGGAAAGGAAAAAAGAAAGGCTTGGGTGGGTAGTCAGAGTTATGTATGCACCCACTTACCTTGTGTATGCATGTATGTATGTACCTTACATATTTCATACGTGCACAATCGAATACCGAGGTGGCTGGGGACCGCTTCTGATGGAGGGTTGGTTGGCAAACACCATTGGCGCCCCAACCTTCCCTCTGTCCCGTCCAACTGGCACCCACAAGATCGCTCATTTCTCCTGAACCAAACGCAGCTGCAACCCCTGTCGTCATGGAGACGCTCTCAAGGCCGCAATGGGACGAACTTGGGAGGAGGCGGGCAAAAGAGAACACGGGGAGAACCCGCCGTCGATTTTGGACGTGACCGAAACGGCCCTAACGGACAAGGTGGACAAGGGTCTTCCGGATGGAGAACGGGAGGACGGCAAAGCAGATGTATGAGATCTGGGCCGCCGCGGCTTGGCACTGGACGAGGAGGCAGTATGTCGCTTAGTAGCCGGAGGATGATGTTGCCGAGTTTTTCTATATCGTAGCAGTGTGGTGCAGGGACAGCCGGCATAAACCTCGTGGATTGCGAGCCAAATTGCCACTGGTCGTCACGCTCCAAACCTGCTACACCTCTAGCGCCGTCCATCAGCCCCGAGCTGCGAAACAGCCGCGTGAGGCAACGATTGGTAGGTAAAGCCCCGCCATCAAACGCTCTCCCGCATACGCCCCCGCCTTGCCAGCCCGGATCCCCTGGCTCCCAGCTTCGATGCTGTCCTAGCGCGCCGAAGCCGTCGACTGATCACCAACCGGCTGCCTTACGCCCCCGGCCGATGCGACCGCGCACCGGTCGACGCCGCGCCCTGGTCTTACCTCACGGACCTCGACTCCAAGCACGTACGACCGACGCAATCGACATCACCGGTACTCGTGGGTACAAGCACAATCAGGACGTTAAACGCAGTCGATAATTTTGGCGTTACCAAGAAGGGCCCCGTTCAAGTCGGACCCCGATCTAACGGCCAGAAAGTCCCTTTCTCGCCGCGTCGCGGGCTACCGGGGTGCTGGACATTATTTCCCTGTGGTCCTGGCAACGACGAATTCCTTAGTGGGCGATGAGGCGAGCAGATCGTTGTGGATCTCAGCGATTGCGGCAAAGTGTGTCGGCTGACCATTGCGTTTGTGCGCGGCCGGTAAAGTATCATAGCTCCTGCTCTGGTGCAGCTGGACAGAAGTCGTCCGAAGCACACTCCCCAGCAGGCTTCTACGTCTGGTACTCCGCCTCTCCTCTTCCTTGTCGGCCTTCGCCTCCACCGCGTCACGTAAATCGGTGTACGCCGTTCCATATGGTTTTGGCGCCAAGGCAGCGGCGTGGAATCATTATCGCCATGCCGCCTTATCGTCCACCCTTGTAGCCTAACGGGTATCTGCTCTGCAAAAGTGGAAACCATCTGAATTGTCACCAAATAGCAGGCGCGGTTCTATTATCAAACGTCCAAGGAATACTCCGTCTCCTGCTGTGGCGACTGCCCACATTTACGACTGCCATACAAAAGACAGCACACGGCGTGGAAAAACCCGTTGTTGCTTCTGTCCGCTTTTATCTAAGAAGCCAGATCCCTCAGCTCGCGGCATCAGCAACCCGACATCGTGTCGATCGTATGCTGCAATTCAGCGCAGAATCAACCGTGTGTTTCTTGCTGACAGCCGCGCCTTTGCATCAGTCCGACTTCGGTAGCGATTCCTCCCCCCGCTCCACGCACGCCTCCGCAAGGCGTTCCCGTGGCAAGAGTGCGTCTTCGTCGTCACCATCGCCTATTTCACCAGTGTCACGGCCATGGTCGAAGACGAGGACACTGTCTATTGGCGCTACGAACGAAGACCCTAATCTGAAGGAGAAGGGAAGGAAAAGAAGGGATTCCGGTGTTCGGCGCACGTTCAGCGCGTCTTGATAATAGTCCACCGTGTGGGTCCTGGTCTGTGGGTCAAGGCCTGTGGGCCTTAACCCAGATCGTCACAACCAGCACCTGCGTCGTCGTCTTCATATCCTCCGACAGGCTCTACATAAACCCGTCCGTCCTCGGGTCCATCTCTAAGTGATGCTACGATAAGATGATCAAAAACACGGCTTACAATCTGGAAATGCGTCTTCAACGCATTAACGAGAAACTGGCGCGCATCACCGCAGACGGGAGAGAGAGTATATTTAACGTCGGTAAGTCGGGATCTACCAGTCCCTGCCTCCCAGGGGGCATACGACGTGCTAGCGCTACCTAAGCTTGACACTAGGCTACATGTTGCTATCGAGGCGGCTAACAAATCAAACCAAGGGGCAAGCCCAGGGCACACGGAGTTCGGGCCGCATTCCGGCACTCCTTGTTAGTGAGCGGGCGATCGGCGGTAGGGCGTATATGTATGCGCCGGGGCGTTGTGAAGCGCTGCGAGTGGTAGTGATGCTGTCGGCCGGCGGGTGCCGGAAAAGGGGTAAGGCCGACTTCGGCGGCGGATGGTTAAAAATCCAGGAGGACGGCCTGCCCGCCGGCCGCTCCGGCCTCTGGGGCACCGAGAAGGTCATCCAGGGCCAGGGCCGCCACAAGGTCCGGATCGCACAGTGCATCGCCCCGGGACAGTACCTGTTCCGCGCCGAGATGCTGGCCCTGCACGGCGCCAGCAGCCCCGGCGGCGCCCAGTTCTACATTGGAGTGCGCCCAAATCAACGTTGTCGGCGGCACCGGCACCAAGACCCCCACCACCGTCAGCTTCCCGGGCGCCTATAAGGTGCGTCCCTTAATGTGCCGCAGTTTTATCGCCCAGCAAAACCATAAAAACTAAGCTTAAAACTTTCTGCCGCAGGCCAACGACCCCGGTGTTTTTATTAGCATTTATTACCCCCGGCTTACATCGTACACCATCCCTGGGCCTCCCATCTTCACCTGATAGGTGGCCACCTAACCAGACCAATTTGGCATAACGATATAATCAAATACTGCTATCTGTGCCTTTCTCATGAATACCTCTTCATCCCCCACTTCTCCTAAACAGTCCTTATGTATATATGCTCCATACATGCATTCTTGGCGTTCTCTTTCCCAATATAGCTCTGTGGCCTGTTTTACCCCCC